AACGCTGGATGCTGAGGCGGCGAGAGTCTCCGGGACTCTGGGTGGCTGCCGCCGCCTGGTTGTTGCTGTCGTCGTCCAGTCCGAGCCCCAGCTTATCCATCTTGTGCTCGTGCCCTTTAGTGTTGTAGCAGGTGATGCACAAGTCATAGTCCTAGGAAGGAAAAAAAGAGGGATTGAGGTTTAATTCCCCATCCAAGTGCAGGATTAAATAATGTGCAACTAAATGAGTCAAATTAGTTTTTAATGCATCAAATTTGGTGCAGTTCGACATGCAATGGATGAGCATAAAAACCCCTTCCGGTTGACATCATGCTGACCATTGACCTACAAAAAGGAGAAAAAAACTGATCTAAGGGAGTCCTGATTCTCACCTCGCACACAGTGCAGTGGAAGCGGGTCTCCACATGGTGTTTACACTCATTGCAGGTGTAGACAAAGCGGTCCTGGCTCTGGTTGTGCAGCTCCACCAACATACACATGGAGCTCCACTTGGACCTCCTGAGCGAGCTGAACTCCAGATGCTTGTCCCTGGCCAGAGTTAAGAAGGCATCTCGGCCGTCCATGAGGTCACAGGCCATGAGGGGGTCAGGGTCAGTGATGGGGGGCAGCGAGTTGGCAGTGGGGCCAGCGATGAGTCGGATGACAAAGAAGACCTAGGGATTTGAGTGTAGAGGGTCAGCTTTAAGAGGTCTGATTCAGGCACGGCTCGCACAGAGAAATTAGAATTTAAATGAGCATACATTTAGAAAAATGTATCAAATTACTACCTTAAAGTAGCTTGACCTACTGTCAACAGGCTCCACAGAAATCAGATTGAATACTGAAGGTCTCATGTATTAATATATAATTTTTCCATAGTTGAATGTTTGGTCACCTTGGCTTCTAGGTTACCTTTATCAAAATGTAAAAACAATAGATAAATATCTATGTGATTCTGCCACGGCAAGCAACCCCTTTCACATACAAGAGTCATGCGACTTTGTAAGTTAAAAAATAAATAGATAGAAGAATCATCTGAAATTGTTTGTCCGCAGTCCGTAAAGGACGTCCAGTTATATGCTGTACCTGCTCAACAATAAAACAGCTGAACAGCAGTAACAGATTCAGCACTGACGGCCGCCAAAGTCGATGTAATAACAAGTCAGCTTAAGGTTCTTATGCCATATAATCCAATGCAAGAGGAAGAAGCTATTGAGCAAATGAGACTTTCATACCTCCTTATGTTTCTCCATGGTGGCGTAGAGTTTCTGGGAAAGGTCATTGGAAACATTGGGCATCCCTGGTTTCTTCTTATTGGCTCGGCTCATGCTGCTCTTGTTCTTGCTTGTCTTTTTATTGTTCTTCTTTTTGGCATTCTTGCTGTCTCCTTTTGTGATCTGAAAGGTTTAAAATGGCAATGACATGAAAAAAGCCCAAAAAAAAAGAGCCTCGAGGTGATGAGATATTAGATTCCTACTCTACTCACGTCTGTGCTCTCATTGGAGGTACTGTTCTCCTCCCTCTTCCTCTCCTCCTCCTCCTGCTCCAGCTCCTTGATGCTCTCCTCCAGCACGTTGGGCCAGAAGTCGCCCTCAAAGTACGGCAGCTCCTTGGCGCTGGTCAGCCGGTCCTCTGTGGCTTGCTTGAAGACGTCCTGAGGGGAAGCAGAGACGAGGGGTCAAGTGCTTGGAGAGACTAATGTCTTCATAAGCCATTTTTCCAAAACAACAGAAAATAAACACTGGTTCAGTTTATTCTTGAGCATAGAAAACTGTGGTTGGTTGTTCGGTTCAGTAGCTTTTCTAGGTCTTCTGATGATCTTCATTGTTTGCCCAGTGGTCATATAGTTGTACATACATTTTTGTACAACTAAAGAACTAATGAAGTTAATGAAAAACTAACGAATTAAAGTTGTGAAATTATATTTCTCAAATAATAAGACTGACAAAAGTCTTCATGTTGTTTAAAAGTTTGACATTTATATTGTGGACGAGTCAACGTCTCAAGGGACATTTACTGATATTATTTCTGCCATGACAAAAGTGAAATCACCTTGTAATCGTGGACGATGCGCTCAGCAACCGCCTTGTCCAGCATCTTCTTGTACCATTCCTGCAATCGTTTAGGCTTGGGGATCTTCTGGTCCATCGGGTGACAATGGAAGATGTAATCGTCCCCTTCACTGGGTGGACAGGCCCAGATATGACCCGTTGTGTACCTGACACCGGGAGACAAGTCGGAATTATTAGAAACAGAAGTAAATTGCTTCCCTTCATTCCACCTGGAGCAGCGCCCTGAACACACGGCCTGGTGTCTTACCCTTGTCTCCTGACGTACTCCAGGTAGCCGATCAGGATCTCGTGGTAGACGCCAGTCCGGATTTGTCGCGGTTGGAAGAAGTGCACGCTGTCCAGGTAAGAGATGTACACTCGTCTCTGATTGGGGGGCGGGCAGTCCGAGCCGTACTCCTGAACGTGCATGCCAAAAAAACACACATCTGCTCCGTCGATGTCCTCGAAAGCGAACAGGGCTTTCATCCGGTAGGGGAAGGAGGCGCACATCTCTCCACTGTCAACAAACCTGCAGGGAAATGAGAGAACACACCTTGGGTGAGGTAAACCGCTATGGAGTCCAAGAAATGTCATCAACCTCCCGGCTACGTCGCCCATAATGTTTAATCCTCTGACAAAACTAGATCACATGGGGAGGTGTGCAGAGGTGTGTCGACAACTGCCCACATGCTTCTAAAGAGTCAGAATTTTTAACTAATCAAGTCGCAAGAGTCACAAGGAAGTTGACTGAATGTGTTGCAGATATCCGCTGGGGCTCGGTCCAAAAAGCACGGCATCGAATGGATTTGGAAATTAGTGCAACAGTTGAAAGGTTTATGAATATTTAACATGTTTTGTGTTCAAATTGGCCACAGTTCGACACAGGACATCAGATGAGCAGTTCTCCAGATATGCGACAGAAGGTGAGCTAGATGTGGTATTAATGTTGGCATTTTGTAGTCAACACCAACTGGTGGGTTATTGCAAATGAGTTTTTTTTTTAAAGTCATTAAAACGAAACCATTATTTCATTGCTGTAGCAATGGTTGGTCTCAAACTGGGATGTTGAACTGAATCAGATTGATGCCTCTGGAACTAAACGTGTGCGCTGCCAATATGCGTTAATGCCCCAACAGCGTTTAAAATATTATTATTAATAAACTAACACTGCATTCAGCTACTTGTCAGACTTCACTGTTACCTGCTCCACCGTGGTCAACCAGCTGTTGCCTGGCAACAACAACAACCACCACATGCATTTGTTTTTGAATTGGAGTGGAGGACCTAACGTCATCAATATGAATGTAGCAATTAGAAGACTGTGTGAACAAAAAAAAAAAAAGTCATTGCTTTCTCAACCCGCAGCTCTATCAGCGTTTCCCCAGCAACAGCAGACATCCACTGGAGTTTCCTCTAAATACACTCTGCGGTAGTCCGCCGCCGTAAGCGGTAACTCGAGGCAGTAGAGGAGGCGCCCTGCTGCGTCAGTGACATTGATTACCTGGACTTCATGCCCGGCTTGACCTCGACCACCTTGTCTGACACGTGGACCACACGGATGGTGACGTCGCCAGAATCCGGGATGTTCTGCCGCTTGATGTAATCGTTGACTCGTGTCTCCAAATAGCACCCCAACTTGGTATGGGGAAGTCCTGCAAAGGACAGTAACGAGTATGAGTAAGAGAGAAGACGGGAGACGTGGAGTCTTTGTGTTCATGGTCACTAAACGTGGCCATTTTATAAACCTCACCAGCCTCTTCAAGAGCTTCTCAGAGCGCTACGGGTGGAGTACATGTCGGACTGTATGCAATATGGATTTAAAAGGAATCCAGCCCTGCTCTGTGCAAAAACCCACTACCAGCATCTCTATAGCTCACAAATTAACACGTTGATGTAATCTTGTTGGTATAAGCTGCACGAAATCTGAAGCCTAAAACCAACATGTTGTGGTGTTGGAGGACTTATGGGCCAGAACATTTCTGTGCCAGGCCTCTGGCCATCTTATCATCAAAAATGTTTTTTTGTCAATATGTTGAACGATTCCATTTTATATACTATAAATGGGCCTCATTTAAAAGAACAATAACAAAATGCTTCATCACCTTTGTAGTAAGGAGGGGAGCGACGAGCAACAAAGATGTTTGAAATGCCGTCAATAAAGAAAAAAAAGGGATGACAGCAAAAAAAGAAAGCGGGAAATGAGCCGGCAGATTAGCGACACTACACTTACTTTTGGATGCGTATTTGTTCTCTTTCCGCGTCTTGTTAGCCTTTTTGAGGCAGTTGTCACATACAAAGCTGTGGTTAGTGAGAAAGCAGAGAGCAGATGGTTAAACTAGCAGGTTACCATCCGCACCAATGACAGTTATCGAGTGGCTTTAATCATGTCAGTCTTCCTTTCCTTAAACAGCGTTAATGACCAATATTGCTTTTAATATCATTCAGTATGCACATGAAGAGATATAAAACATTTAGAAATGAGAGCACTGTACATTACATTACTTTGTCTTTGTGTGTATTTGTAGACATTTTCCTTTTCAGTGCAGACGTAATGATCAGGACTCTCTCAGATTCAACATGTTGAACAGTTGGCGCTCTGTGCGATCTTAAACTGGCAGCATTTATACAGCTGGAGGAGTTTACGGCTGTACTTTCCCAGCATCATTATATACGTTTTGGATGATTCTAAAGCTTTTTAAGGAAAACAAAAAGGCTTCATTTATTTTCAGGAGGCAACCGCGCCACAGAATGTACAAGAGTGTGAAAACTGACTCACCCCAACGGCCATATGGTGTCATGATGCAAGACACAGATCTGGTGCATTTTGCGACCGCAGTCACCACATTCCACAAGCCTGAGTAGAGGGAGGACGGGAGACAAAAGACGGACAACATCTCGAGTTTAGTTTACAGAAATGGTGCAAATGAAGTCTGAATGAGAAAGTAAAAGGGTGCACGTACAACTCAGGGTCGAGTGTGTCATTCTTCTTTCTTTGAAACTGGTCTTTGTTGATGGACCTTTGGGAAATATCAGAAAACAAACCGCTGTAAGAGTCACAACAAGGTAATCACCTTTACACTGCAGGCTGTGTGCAGAATACAATATCCTCAATTCAGAAAATGAATGTAGGAATTGATAACATCTCCACTGGCTAAATAGTTCATTGCTAAATATCGTTATTCTGGTTGTTAATTCCAACCGTTAAATAAGGGATACAAACTTGTCTTGTGTTTAAATGACTTTATGCACCAAACCATTAGTAGTATTCTAGATTGCTGTTGTCGGAGCAGAAAGCAGCGTTTCCCCAACCTTTATATCAGGGGGGCACCAGTGGACAGGCTACTACTAAAAAGGTATTTGATTTTAATAGAAAAGTAAGTCCACTACCACCTATAGAAACAGATTCCAAATACATGCGCCCCACACAAGAGGTGTGCTCTCAAGTTTGCTTTTTGAGGGAACATAAAAAAGGGTCAAACCCAATGTTAAAGGGTTTGTGCAAACTTTAAATTGTCATTTTTTGTTCCCATGTGAGGTTATAGATAAAGAAGTCAAATGAGAATCAGACTTAAAACGTTATACCTTCACTAGTTATTTATGCTTTTGTTGTCCTTATACCTCTGGGATAACAAAAGTTCCCCTCTGCGGAGGAATAAAGCTGTGTTTTATCTGAACTGTTAATTCCTGTTTTGTGGTCTTTTCTAACAACTCTTACAAGCTTCTAATGGCAGAATTGCATAAAATCTTGACAAGCATCACTCGACACCATGAAAGTGTCGAGTGCTGTGCGCTGTGTGTCATTGTGTGTGCGTTGTGTGTGAGAAGAGTGTGGTGGTACTCACGTCTGAGGCTGGGAGGGGTCGTCCCCCAAGGAAACACTCTCGCTCTGGATTTCGTTGAAACACTTCTCACAGAAGTGGTACCTGTCAGCAAGAAGCCCATATTTTGGTGAACTACACCGTTCGTCATCAGCACAGCCAATCACAGAGCGGGCACGGAGAAGCAGCCGCCAATCAGGGCAGGGCGGGACAGGCCAGGGGGCGGACACACAGGAGAAGGCAGTGGGCAAGGTGGGTCGTCGCCAGGAGGAAGCAGCCAATCGTGATGCAGGGTTTTTGTGTGGGCGGGTGTTTTGATTTTGCGCGTAAATTTTGGAGTGGATGATTGGTCACACCAAAACAGGCCAATGCAGACATCAAAAGCGTTAACAAAGGAAGGAGAGAAGGGAAGAAGGGGAGGGGAGGGGGGGCGTAGATGGGGAGAGGGAAGTCAAAATGAACATTTAAAAAAAGCGTGAAATAAATTGTCACAGGTCAGACGGAGACAATGGAGGGGACAGAGGGAGGGACAAGATGTGAACAACAACCAACAGAGGACAGAGAGCCAAGGCAAAGCAAAGATTAGCGTCAGACGTTCAGTGGTAAACAACAACAACAACAACATTACAGCAACATGAGAGACCACTAGGAGCTGTGGAGGAGGAAGAGGGGAGGGGGGGGGGGGGGTACAAGTCTCCGAACATGAAAGGGTGGACGAGAAAAAAATAAAATAAATGGCAAGGCAACAGAGACCCATCATCCTTCTAGTTCATTTATAAAGTGGGAACCTGCCTTCTCTTCATTTCTGTCAGAAAGTGCAAGCAGTCGTGCGTTTGTGCGCGTACATTTACTCAGAGGGAACAATGAGATGACAAATAAAAGCGCAAACGCTGAAGAAGACAGGAGCCCACTTTATGAATGAGCACATAATGAAAATAAAAACAGTGAGCTATGAGGATGGTGCCAGGGTAACCATTTGTAGCCAAATTAAAACTCATCTGCGATTTCACAGAGGAAATGGAATCATTGCGCAAAGAACAAAACACGCAAGCTGCCTTTTCACAACAAAATGTCTAAATGTCCATAATACTATGAAGTGTGTGTGTGTGTGTGTGTGTGCGCGCGCGCGCTTGTGTTCCAATGTGCCGAAAGCCCTTACCTGTTCTGGTAGCTAAAATAGGCAGCGTCACGTTGGATGGTGCATAATTGTTTTCCATAGCAGCAGAGAGTTTGTGGGGAAAACTCAAACTGCAACAATAAAGAGATGAAAAGAAAAAGTTGGGTTTTTTAGACAGAAGAAACATTGACACCACACACACACAATTATTGATCCCCACTCCCATTCATCCATCCTCTGAAACACCAATTTACTCGTTTTGGATCTTGGAGCCGTTGCCAGGCAACAACAGCAAACTCTAGAGATTCAGACACTTAAATAGACAATGTTGTTTTTAGATTTCAGTTTTTGCACAGATTCAACAAACAATATGATATTATAGGATATAAACCTAATGAGCTCTGAAGGTGCTAGTAGGAGGATGATGTTACCTTTGGACAGAGCCAGAATAGCAGTATTCAGTCATTATGCTAAGCTAAACAGCTAACGCTTAATCAGAAAGCAGACCTGCAATCATTTTCTAAACGTATTTACAAAACTATTAATTTAAACCGGAAGCTGACCAGAGATACGCTTAATGAAATAAGACTAGTGTTGAGTTTAAGAAAAGAAGGAGACAAAAATAGAAAAGCTCCCTCCTCACCTTCCTCCCACAACAGTATCCCAGGCCCTGCATGACGGAGTCGATCTCCGACTCAAACACCTCTGCCAGCTTGGAGCAGTACTTGTAGACGCGGGACGTCTTGCGGTTGTACAGCCAGGCGTTGTTGAACATCAGCCAGATGTCCTCCACGTACTGCCAGGGCTCTTGGTACTGTCCCGTGTCCAGCTTCCGCTTGATGGTCGACAGGTCCATGGGGTTCTTCACTATGTCAAAGTAGTCCTGCTTAGGGAGCACCGTCGTCGGGATCAGAGTGATGGGCCGAGGTGACGTTGCAAACGTTCGGAGGGGAAGCGCAGCGATGCGGCGGGAGGGTTTGGTCGTCCGAGGGCACCGGGGTGAAAAAAGGTGGGGAAGAAGAGTATGACAGTCATCATCAAAGTTGTGGTGAGCAGGTGAAGGTGTGACGAGTCAACCAGGCGGGACCAGAGCGCGGAGAGAAGCGCGTGCGGGGAGACGACAGGGAGTGCAGCGCTGCGGAGAAGAAGGTTCGCGTGCGAACAGAGAGAGACGTGACAACTTCTGCCCTCCGGCTCTCAAGCGCCTACGTGTGAACGACGACCAGGCGACCTGCCGCTCAGAGATTCTACTTTACACACACCTCCTAAAAGCTTCCTTTTAATTTTTGCCACACTGCACTTAACCACTGTCCAACATCTGGATGTGTCTGCAGAAAGTTCTAAAGCAAAAAAAGCTTTCAGGCGCAGAAAGCGGTTTGGGTGCAAAACCAGGAAAATCAGCCGCGGCAACGGCAGACAGAAATGAACCGTTTTTAAGCAGCAGCTAGCGCGGTTGGCAGTAACAGCGCCGACAGCATAAGTGGTGACGTGAGCGTAGTTGAAGCCAACAGCAAATGTACAAGGACAGGATGAGTCTCCGGGTCGTTCTTCTTTTCCCGTTGCCTGCCTTTCCGCTTCTTCTCTCAAACTAAAGCGCCGTTTGAGAAAACTAGCGGTTAAAGTGGTCACGGGAAAGAAAGAGCATTTTTGGAGATCCAACCAGAAACATACGAGGAGGTGGTGCGAGTTTCAAAGAGAAGAGTCCATCTCAGTGTCACGTGGCAACAACTGTTAAGAAATCCCAGATCTCTGAATGAAACCACGGGCGTTAAGAAGCAGGTAAGTCACACTACAAGGTCTACCTACAGCGAGGCGCACGTCACCGCTTTGTTAGAAACGGTCACTGAGAGTGTGTCTGAAAAAGTGAGTTGTTAAATTAAACAACATTGGAAAGTCGCATCACTTGACTGTGGCGGTTCCTGTAGAGAGGTGAGCCAATAGCCTGCTGCTCACTCATCACTGCTCAAAAAATGGCATCATTTTTCCCTTCTTGATTAAGGAGTGGAGCTGTATGCAAGAAGATAAGTCTTAAGTCCTCTTTCCCCCCCCAATTTGGACGTAATGAGGGTAAAAGTTATTGTCCCACCTCTACACACCGCCCACCAACACTACTACTGGTGAGGAACTGAACTAGAAAGCTAGCAATGGGATGAAGACTACAAAAAACACACACAAATGTGATGTCAGAAAGCAAAGGTCACATAAATTAAAGTGATAAATGAAAGCAACTGGCTCATGAACTGTTAGCTTTAAGCAATTCATCTCCATCCTTTGCTTACGAAACGCAGTGCTGACATGAACCATTGTCTCCATGTTGTATTTGGAGTCATTACTCTGATGGATGCTTATGTTACGCAATACTGTATCTTTCTACAAAATCAAGTGAATCAATGACAAAGAATGTCAATTTGCTTTTATCATTTACTTTTTGCCGATCACTTCCATGAAAGTAAAAAGAAAATGTCCAAAAGAGTCACTGCTTTGATTTACAAAGACAACACACACTTTTTGGGATCGTTATTCTTAACTTCTGACATGCAATGGTAGAAAAATCAACTCAAGAATTAAAGAAACTGGGAGCAGATGTATACAATGAATGGAAACCATGACAAAAAGGAGACAAAATAGAAAAGATGAAAAGGGAAAAAACAAAAATAAAAAGCTACGTTTTCAGAGGAGTTGAAGCAAAATGGCAGCCAGTGCAGTCCCTTACCAGGTTAGTTTTGTTACTAGTTCGAATACGTACGGGTATTCCCAGTAACTGGGGGTCCACCGGCTGACGGAAGGGAAGGGACTCGGGGTCCTGCCGGTACAAAGCCTCCAGGGTGGGCATCAGAGCCTGACGCAGCTCCTCCGGCTTAAAGACTGGGAGAAATGGCAGAGAGGAAATCAAATGCGGAATGAGAAGAGATTTAGAGGTGGAAGGTTAAAAGGGGAGGAGATGCAGGGGAACAAATTACAAGGAGGTTTCTGGTGCATTTAATCTACACTCTCGTCGTTCGTTTAGTTCACGCAGACATTTTGTTCATGTGGATGATGACAGGCGTCGACGACGATTAGAAATCAAAGACAGAACTTACTTTTCTTCTTGCTCTGAGCGCTGGCTGGGGAGCTGCTGTTGGATGCTGATCCTGCCCCATCCTCTTCCTCTTTGGGCTCTTGCTTCACCTCCGGCTTCTTGTCTTCCCCCGTTGCTACCGACGATGAAGCCGAGAATGAAGACGTGTCCATGGGCTCGCCTTTACACCCGTCTCCCGACGGCTTCTCTTTCTTTATCTGAGAGAAAGATTCAAGTGTCACTACCAGGATTTCCTTATTAACGGGGTTCTGATGAATCTGAATCAAGACATCATTTCAGACATTTCCGTGACGAGGATTTTAAATCGCCACGATACGAACAGTGAGCGGAGGAGGACATTCTTACCTCTGGTTTCTCCTCTGTCTTCACGTCATGCTGACCCTTGCCCATCTTCCCCTTGCCCTCTCCTTCAGTGTCAGCTCCTTCATCCTCATCTTCCTGCTTCTTCACCTCCATGTTGACGTCTTCCTGGCTGGGCGCGGGGCCGTCCGCCTCGGTTAGCTGGGAGCTGGGATTGGCGCTGCTGCTGACTGAGCCGGGAGAGGACACCTGACCCTCTGCTGTCAGAGAAGGCTTCGGAGACAGCTGTGGCAAAAAGACAGATGAAGTGAGGTTTAGAAATTGCGACTAAAATTACATTTTGTTGTTGTTTTGGTAAAACGGACTTCTTGGTCATGTAATTCTTTCTCATTCCATTATTCAAAGTCAAGTAGTTTGAAGCCCTCCCATCTGTTTTTAAAGCATAAACTCTCCCATACCCTTTTCTTCTGTGAAAAAAAAGATCTTTTCAATGAATTTTTGCATGTCTTATTCAATGAAAGGACAGAGAAAAACTAGACTTGCAACTCTGAATATGGCGTAGAAGTGGAATGAGGCTGGTGATCTACTCACTGGGGTCTGCGGCCGTTGCGATGGCACATGGGCATTCTGAGTAGGCTTTGAAGAACCATGACTGCCCTGAGGGCCTGAGGATGCCGAACAGAGCGTCTGCTGTGGAAGCTGCATGGCCTTCTCAGAGTTCACCGATTGCTGCTGTGAAGCTTGTTGCTGTGAAGCCTGTTGTTGCTCCTGTAGTTGTTGTTGCTGCTGCTGCTGCTGCTGCTGTTGTAATGTGTGTTGCTGCTGCTGCTGCTGTTGTAACACCTGTTGTTGCTGTTGTTGCTGCTGCTGTTGTAATGCGTGTTGCTGCTGCTGCTGTTGTAACACCTGATGTTGCTGTTGTAGCAAAGCCTGTTGCTGCTGCTGTTGTTGTTGTTGTTGTTGTTGTTGTTGTTGTTGTAACGCCTGTTGCTGCTGATGCTGCTGCGAAGCTTGTTGCTGCTGTAGCTGCTGCTGCGAAGCTTGTTGCTGTTGTAGCTGCTGCTGCGAAGCTTGTTGCTGTTGTAGCTGCTGCTGCGAAGCTTGTTGCTGTTGTAGCTGCTGCTGCGAAGCTTGTTGCTGTTGTAGCTGCTGCTGCGAAGCTTGCTGCTGTAGCTGCGAAGCTTGTTGCTGCTGTAGCTGCTGCTGCGAAGCTTGTTGCTGCTGTAGCTGCTGCTGCGAAGCTTGTTGCTGCTGTAGCTGCTGCTGCGAAGCTTGTTGCTGCTGTAGCTGCTGCTGCGAAGCTTGTTGCTGCTGTAGCTGCTGCTGCGAAGCTTGCTGCTGTAGCTGCGAAGCTTGTTGCTGCTGTTGCGAAGCTTGTTGCTGCTGTAGCTGCTGTTGCGAAGCTTGTTGCTGCTGTAGCTGCTGTTGCGAAGCTTGTTGCTGCTGTAGCTGCTGCTGCGAAGCTTGCTGCTGTAGCTGCTGCTGCGAAGCTTGCTGCTGTAGCTGCGAAGCTTGTTGCTGCTGTTGCGAAGCTTGTTGCTGCTGTAGCTGCTGGAGCTGCTGTAGCTGTTTCTGATGCTGCAGTTGTTGTTGCTGCTGCTGGTGGTGTTGGTGTTGCTGCTGCTGCTGGTGGTGTTGCTGCTGTAGTTGTTGTTGTTGTTGCTGCTGTAGTTGTTGCTGTAGTTGCTGCTGCTGTAGTTGCTGCTGCTGCTGCTGCTGCTGCTGCTGCGGCGCGCTGGGAGTCTGTGGCTGTGGGGTCTGAGATCGGGGTAACGTTGGGGGTGTTTGATGTGGTTGAGGCGTTAAGCTGCGTGCCGGGGAAGGGGAGTTTGTTCGGATGGGTGGGCAGTGAGGGTAGGAGTTGTTCTGGGTGGGGGCCGAGGATGGAGGCATGTTTGTTTGAGACCCAGCACCACTGGCACTACCAGACCCCATGGGGCCGACGGCCGTAGCGGAGCCTGGGGCAGAAGAGGCAGACTGTGCTGCGGGGCTGCTGACTGGGAGCGAAGGCGGCGTCGACATCTGGTTCTGTAGCAGAAGAGTTTTTTACAGAAACGATGAGGAGCAACATCATATGACTAACTGTTGTTTTCAGGTAGATGACTGACTCTTCTTCAAATGCTTTTGCAAATACCCACATTCCCATTTGCCATCAAGCTCCTCTTTACGTCACAAGTCACTTACCGGTGGCACAGCGGTCTGTGCTCCTGGTTGGTTCATGCCAATAGGACCAGAGCCATGTCCAGGACTGGACCCAGGAAACTGGCCCGAAGGGAAGTACTGGTTCTGTAACTGTGTGGCATTGGGCTGACCCATCCTTGCCGCTCCCATACCCATCTGGAAACAAGAGGCGTAAGAAGTCTCAAATGAATAAGGGCATAATTTAAAAGGAAGATGTTCTCGTCAGCACAAAGTAACCTGTGCTTGAGATGGTGACAGTGATACCAACCTGATTCATTGGCGAATTATGAGGAAGAGGAGACCTTTGACCCATCGACTGCATCCCCATCTGAGCAAACTGACTCATTCCTAGAAGGCAAGGAGGACAGAAATAATGCAAGTAAGAGGTGATGAGGTGCTTTCCCGCGAGGGCGGTCGTCTTTATCCGAAAGCCATACTACAATTTGAATGTTGGTAAAAAAAGAGTATCGTTCGATTGGTAGGAATTTGAAGACATAACTTGCGATGTGTAATGTAGCTGGCAGGCCGACAACGGAATCAGAGACAAACTCTTGTCATTACCCTTAAAAATGTCCTCGCAGTGACTGTAGCAGAGCAGTGGATAAGCTCGTAGACAGAAATTGAATGTGCATGTTTACATACCGCTAGAAAGTGATTGCCACTCATAATTATCAACCAGGATTGCTTTTAAGCCAACTTTTCTACAACCCAATGCGCCCTTAATCATGTTTTTTCCCTTTAAATCAGGCCGCATTGCTTAAAATATATTAATCAAAGTCTGGCTTCCTTTGACATACTGCCATTTACACTAATCAGGGATGTACCTGGTGGGTTCTGCATCCTGTTGACCATCTGATTGGGTCCAGATGGTCGGACCATGGACGGATCAGCGTGAGGACCATCTGACAGGGTGAAAGAGTTACAGGAATCACCAAAAAAACCCCAGATGACTAAAAGAAGAGACAGTGAGCAAAAGTGCGTGATCTCTTTCACTTTAGAAGTGATCACTTTTCCATGGTGGCTGCATAGATGCATATAGATGTATGGAGTCAAATACCAGGGAAGAGGAACAACACGGACCTAAAAGCTGAGTTACTACTTGTATGGCGGCGGTATAAGTGCATACAGTCATGTGTGGCTACATGCACACTGAAGTGGTACGTTTGCTTACTTGGGGGTTGCCCAGGAGTCATGGGCAGCTGTCCCATGCTGGGAGGCACCTGCGGGGGGCCTGGGGAGACCATGCCACCTTGGCCGGGCATTATGCCCTGCTTCTGGAGTCGTGTCCTTCTCTTCTCCTCCAGCTCCTTTTGGATCTTGTAGATCTTCTCTGCCAGCAGATGGTAGTATTCCGCCTAGAAAGGATAATCACAACAGGGCAAAAATTCTTTTATTTCCTCATCCGTTAACTGGAAACTGATGGTAGATCCACAATATTCTGGCTGCATTGGTTACTTACCCTACTATTGGCCGACTCGTACATGTCTCCCTCGACTTTTCGAGCGTAGGCCACCAGGTTCTCCATCCGCCGGTCCTTCAGGGCCGCTGGATCAGGAGTGGGGAAGATGGCCTGCACACTACTCTCACACATGCACAAACAAGAAGGACACACAGGTACAATTAACTTGAGGAAAGAGGACCCCAAATGACATCCAGTACTAAGCATATCTGATGCTACAACCGACACTGCATCCATCCAACACACACCGTATTCCTACCACGCCTGTAGCGCTTAATTCTATCTGTAATTTCTAGTAACATGCGCAGTATTTCTCTACCCCCAACCATTTATTCCACATTCTCCTTACAATATAGTTTACCATGTATATAAATACATAAAAGCATCAATACCATTTTTCTACTAATGGTTAGAAGCTAAACTGCATTTCCTTGTCTCTGTTTATGATGCATGTGCAGTCATAATGAAGTTTATTTAATCTTAATCGAATAACATTTAAATGATTTTGTGTGGGCCCCCTGCAAGACACAGCAAACTCACAGCTTGTGGACAAGGTGGTTGCGGAGGTCCTGCGTGATGTCTTCATGCCAAGACTTCCTCATGCCTGCAGCAGAAGGTGGAGTTGCGGTGGGCATGGAGCCCAGGTTCCCTAGTCCATCCGTCAGTAAACTGGGAAAACAATGACAGACAAGGACGAAAGGAGAAAGTGAGACTTCAGCCAATAGGACTTTCTTAAAGTACTTTACACGACAGCAGGCTAAACAGTGAGAATCCCACCTACCTCTGTGCATTCATGTTGCCGTGCAACAGGGCGTTGGGCAGTAGACTGGACTGCTGGTTGGGCGATTGCACTCCCACTCCACCATTCACTCCCATAGAGTTTCCACCTGTAAGCGTTGTAGAGTTGCAGTTATAGAGATTCGTGGGATGGTGTTGATTGTTAAATGCTGACGATGATACCTTGTGCTACCATAAGGCGCATCTTCAAAACAAAACATTTCCAAGCAAAAGATGTGAAGTGTCACAATACAGCTGGAGATTGATTTTTTCCATGTGATGCTAGAGAAGACTAAGTTTAGTGAGTCTGCACAGCTGGAGGAGATCAAGCGTCACTTTCTGACGCTATAAATCCAGCTTGTAAATACCGGTTATCACATTACTTAAGTCCTACACAACCATCCTCTAATGACACCAGAAATGAAAACACGATGGCCATGAAAGAGCCCAAACATCTGCACACCTTTGGGTTGGAGATTATTAATGAACCGCCATGGATTATCCTCGTATTGTGCCAAATCATTTGAAATACGCACAGTGGCGTTAGAAACTGACCCATGGTGTTTAGATTCCTCATTCCAGGCTGACCCTGCAGCCCCTGGCTGGACATGTTCGCCTGTGACGGCTGCGGTGGTATTGCGTTGCCCTGGTAAGTGAGGCCGAGTGCAGCGTAGGCCCTCTCTATGGAGCTGGGGTCCATCTGGTTGGGAGGGTTCAGGTTTGGGGTGTTGGACTGTCCACCAGGAACCCCTGAGCCTAAAGAGTTCACCAAGCCGACTCCTGCACTGTTAACAAGAGCTGTAAAGAGAGGGGGGGGCAGGAGAGGATTATGGGAGGGAAAATAGGTAAGGTGAACACATTTCATTGTAGACAATCTGCAATAATAAAGACAATATCACTTTACTGCTCAAAACACACACACACACACACACACACACACACACACACACACACACACACGAGAAACACTCACACTGCTGATTCCGCTTGTCTCCAGCGTTTTTCAGTGGCAGGCATACAGGACAGTCATGTCGTGTGCAATTCTTCCAATGAGAGATGATCTGTCTGGATGAGGCACAGTGTGCCACTGGGGGGAGAAGACACAGATGTTTGAGAAATGGAAAGAGAAATGGAAGAGAGACGAGAGAAATGAGAAATTGCAACAGGGTGAAGATGAATAATGAGACAAGAAAAAGGATGAGAGGAAGAGGATAAAACTGTCAAAAGTAAGTTTGAGAAGCCAGACACTAAAGTTATTTCAAGAAATCAGTTAATTGAATCTACATCTACATGAGAGAGAAAAGGGAAAAGTTATAGTAGAATGGGCTGCTTAGAGGCGAATAACTCATTTTGAGATGATGGAGAAAACTGAGGCAAACCAAGACGGAAATAAACACACAAAGAAAATTAGAGGAGAAATGAATTGCAGATACATGACAACGTTAAACACAGCCTAGTGTTTATGATACAAACCATTAAAGCAGCAATCAGTGTAATTCAACAGACTCACCCTGGCAGGACTTGCCAGCTTGGCAATGAGTCATGTGGTTGAGCACGTTCTTCATGGTGCGGCAGTGGGGCAGGTTGCACTGCCGCACTTCCCCATTGGCCTGCTCCCTCCGCTGGCACTTGTGCGCGTGGAGCAAAAGGACCAACTGCTGTTGAATCAGCTTACGTTTCTCGGGGTCTGCTGTGGGGGGCGCTGCGCCGGGACCAGCCCCGACAGCACTGAGCCCGACCTGGGCGCCTCCCGCTGCCGCCGCGCCGCTGGCGGAGACGCCGCCGACCGGTCCAGGCTGCTGCTGCTGCTGCTGCAAAATAAATCTCTAGTTTCACTACCCGTTCCATTCGGTTGTTTAGAAAAACATTGAATATATAAAAACAGGAATGTCACACAAATGTATCAAGAGTCGTGAGTGAGTCAAAATAAATACCTACATTTGTGACGCTGTCATCACAGAGGTGTAATGAAAAGAAAGAGGGTGCGAGTTGCGTCAGGTAAAACAGAGGATGATCACTCGGAAGGCAACTTGCATTGGGCCACCAACGTGCCAGTAACATTATTATTAAAAAGCACTTTGTTCACATGACCTGTGGCTCGCAAGGCAGGCTCAGCACGTTAGATTACATCCAAAAGCCCTCGGAACATATCCTGCCTGGTTTTACACCAACAACACATGTGTCCAACCGCTGTGTGAAGCGGGCGGGATCGTAAACAGGCAACACCTGGAAATTATTGCTTTTGGGCTTCTGACGGTGAATCAACACACTAATCATCTATAGAAGAACTGGACTCTTATTCAAGTGGGACTCTAGAGGTTACTCAACTACATTGAAATAAATGACTGTCCAGAAAAAGCAGCAACGGTTTACATTACATTACATTACATTACATTACAGGTCATTTAGCAGACGCTTTTATCCAAAGCGACTTTGATCTGGTTCCATTAAGAACGTAAAAAGAATGATATTTTTTATCTTAGACTCTTTCAGAGACTAGTAAAATACGCAAGCTTAATTTACAGTAGTACAAGAGGCTTCTATGACGGCCACTTGTTCTGGACTAAAACAAAAGGCATCTCACCATCCCGGCCGTGCCCTGACCCGGCGGGGCCTTCTTGTCCATGCTGAACTGCGAGGCCATGCTGTTGGGAAGCGCCCCCTTGTTCTGGAGCTGCGGGCCCAGCCCTGCTCCTGGGAGCCCCTGACCCGACTGGCCATACGGACCGCCATAGGGGCCCGCGTTGGCCATCATACTCATCTAGGGAGCGGGTGTGGACACGGGTAGGAGAGAAGGAAATTCATAGTTTAGAAATTAAAATTGATTACTTATAATTGCCTATGAAGCATTACAATATACTACAGATCTTTAAAAAAAAAAGAATATATATATATAACAATGTACATCAAACTACTTTGGACAGAGTTCTCCTCCAACTCTGTATTGGGCCAAACTATTCTTTAGTTCAAAAGCAGCTCTGCTCAAATGTCAAGTCAGTTGTTGCTGGGAGACTAATAGAGCTTAAACTGCATTGAACAGGGGTAGCAGAAGCACTTTAATGATGCAAATCCTAAAACAGATAACATTATTTAAAAGGTCCTGCGTTTGCTAGGACAGTTATTCAGCACAGTTGTTTGTAGCACTGCGTTCACACCTTAAAACAGGAATATCCTGTGGCAAATTAACAAGCAATGTGGTTAATCACGGAGCGGCCGGTGATGCGGCTGCCAGTCCGACACATAAGCACACTGATCCCCTGCAGCCGCACGCCAGCAGACAGTCGTCTGAAAAGGTGCGTCTGCGATTTGTGACGCAAACTTTCAAATAATGTTAAACTACAACAAGCTCAATAAACGCCACGCGGAGTATTCACATATCCAGCTAGTTTTCAAATGTATATTGTACATTACCATTATTCAATTGAATGAGAAGGCGTGTCCAAACTTTCGATTGGTACTTTACATACGAAGCAGTGTGCTGTAAAAAGGCAAATCTCTAATATTCTCAGAATCGTGTTATATAAAAAAATGTTCCACAACATATCAGATTTAAAAGAAAAAGCAGCTTTATATTTGTTTGGAGACTACGTGTAGGTGTGCCATTCAGCGGGACAGTAAAAACCGTGGTTGTATAAAAGTGCCATTTGGAACCCCGTAGCTTTGGTTAAAAACCTTTAACACAACACACTGACAACCTTGTTCCTGGGTTGGGAGCGCTTACCTTGTTCAGTGCTCCGGGCTGTTGCGGTCTCATTCCCGCCGGACCCCCGTGTCCCATTTGCTGACTGCCCTGCTGCTGTAGGGTCTCCGCCAACAGATTACTACTGTTGCCCATGCCTGCAGCGCCAGGGTAACCCATTCTTGGCGAGCCGTTCATCACCTGGCCACCCATCAGGCCCTGCTGCTGCTGTCCAGTGTTGCCCTTCTGGGCACCCATCATGGCAGCTGCCCGATTGAGTGCCGCCGCCCCTCCAACCATCCCGGCTTGCTGCATTAATCCAGCTTGCTGTTGCTGGCCCTGAGGTCCACCATGGGAGACCCCGACACCCCCCATCATCCCCATGGATGCCCCGGGTGCCGTGCTGTTAGAATTCGGGCCACCCTGCTGTCCCGGTGCTCCGGCACGCAAGAGCTCGGACAGCTGTTTGTGTTTCGTGGCTGCGTCCTGGCCTCCCAAACCAAGCCCTCCCCCGAGTCCACCCAGACTGGTGTGGAGCTGGCTGACATCTCCTCCGTTGGTCAGACCCAGGTCCGAGGAATTGATGAGTTCATCTGGGAGGTCATGCTCCAGGTCAAAGAGCGAACCGAAATCTAGAAGGGGGAGAACAGAACAAAATAATTGTTATACGCCGCTCAGCTCAGCCAGCTAGAAATTCTGCAGGTCTGGTTCCACGCCTGAAAACTATGAGGCAATAGTCTGGAGCCCAAAGCGGGACACTCGTTGCAGCAGCAGTTTCCTCTCACAGCCTGGATCTGTCTCACGGCCATCAGTTTGTGGTTTGACGGGGGGCCAAACACGGAGAGTGGGCGCAGTAGGGTCGGGGTGAGAAGCCACAGGAGTAAACACTGCAGTACCTAGGTAGGTGTGTGTGTGTGTGTGTATATATATATATATGTCATGTGGTGTAAGAAACAGAAGACGTATCGGCGTCATATCCACAGCAATGAAGGGGTGAAATAAGGGAAAGTTGGTACACTCAAATATATTATATTATTATTTCTCTCTATTGGACATTTATTCCAGCATTGTATGCAAACATGAAGTGCTCATGATCATCCTTTCAGTTGGACCAAAATAAATGTGCAGACATCTGTCCAGTGTGCAAACATCTGACTGAAATAGATGTGTTGTATTTTTTTACACCCTGCATTAGGGGGTCAGATACTGTGGGAAATGAAATATGCATTAAACTTGAAATTCACACTAACTTATGTGCTGACTCAGTTGTATGGACACCCATCTTTGCACGGTTAACATAGACATGTACTGTCAAACATACTTGTGTTAGAATACATACTTCCTCTGGTTCAGATGTTGTTTCAGTAGTATGCTACTTATAAGAGGATGCAACAAGAGGGGACGTCGAGAGTCTAGTTTATTGCTCAATACGTGCAAAAAAAAATCGTATGCGACGAAAGTTCGATTCAGTATCGCGTGATTGTGACCGAAACTCCTTTAGTGTTGAACCATTTTGAAAATTTGGGGAAAAGTGCGTCGCGGTGTCACCGTGCAGCCCATCAATGGAGGGTCGTAAAGAACGGGCTTCTCCCGCAGAACAACCGAGAAGCCGAAAACTATTTAAACAAAAGAGTTCAAAAGAAGACGTTTCAGAGACGTCGGCCGATTTCGCCCTTCGGCTGAAACGTTTCAGCGCGGTTAATAATCGCCCCTCGGCTCGCTCGCTCGGCGGAGCCGCGTTTCGCAACTTTAATTGCGAGTCGAACAATGGCTGATGTACCACAATGGACCACTAAAAACAAGAGTGTCGGCTAACAACACGTGAAGCGCACGACACGCACAGCCCCGCGCGCTGCTGCCGCAACCCCATAACCGGCTGGTGCACGCGAGAAAACGCGCCCCTCGTGTGCACGAACACGTCGAGCCGATAAACAGTGGCCGAATTGATTTGCTAGCCGGCTATCGGGCTCAGCTGAGTCGGACCGGTCATCTACCCGGCTAGCTAGCTAGCTAGCTCGCTCGGTTACCGTTACTTTCTCCTAAAGCTACTTCGGAAGCGGCACTTTGTCCCCCGCGTCCACGCGGGGCACGCGACGCGCGACGTTTTAATGTGCGCGCGCCCTCGTGCTCCCATCGGGACGAGTCCCGCACGAGCGAGAACAACTTGAGGCAAACTGGGGTGACTCTGCTCTTCCATTGTTTGGAGGTGGATCTCATAGTTAGAAGCTAACTCGTTAGCCCGTTGAGGCTAACGCATCAAAACATCCCTCCGGGAAAAGTTTCCCCCCCGCCAGCAGCGAAACACCACGTTTACTCCCCAGCAATGCTACTCGTTTTATAAACAAAGCGACGCGTATTTGTGTTTTAAAGCGTGTGTTTAGATGGTGTGTAGCTGTATCGGACCAACTAAGTTGCCGTGCAGCTCTACGGGGACTCTGGAGACGAGTACTCAAAACCCCCAACAGCGAGTTCGTGTTTTATGTGGAGCGAACGTTGAGTAAAGCATGCGGTATATTTACCATTTCCATCACTGGCAGACACCGACAGGGCCGGAGAGGACAGCTTGGGCCTCTTGGCTGAAGGCGGGCCGGACTCCAGGACATTATCGGCCATATTTTTGACGAATTACCCCCCCACCCCTCAAAAAAAAAAAAAAAAAAGGTAGATTCCACGGAGGTAAAACGTATTTCCTTCACTCGCGTCTCTTGGAGCCCTTTTAAGAAACACTTCTGGTCGTTCCCCCACCGCTCGGGGGACGGTAGGGGAGAAGAGAGCAACGCTGGACTCCTTCCCTCGGAGTTCTCTCCCTCTCTCTCCCTCTCGCTGGGTTTATCCCCCTCTGTGGATATCAGCCCCCCCCTCCGCTGCCGCAGATGGAATTTCTTCTCAGCTTTGAACGGGAGGAGGTGGGAAGGTGGAGTCGGCGAAAAGGGGGCAGCGCGCGGCCCTCTGACAACCTCATGCAGCCGCTCCTGCGACACGAGACCCGTCCCGAGATCAGTCTTCCGCGCCGCGGCGCCCGGTCCTGTCCGCCATAACCGGCGGAGGAAAAAAAATAACAAATCCCGTATTTCAAGTCTGAACGCGATCCGGTGTGTGTGTGTTGGGGGGAGAGGGGGGGGTGTCTCGGTCAGGCCACGGAATCCGATAAGAGTGCCATGTGGTGAACTTCTGGAGGCCGCTCGCTCATGCAACAGTTACGGGAGCCTCGGCTGCTTCCACCGTCTCCCCCACCGGGGCAGACATCTCACTGGACGCGGACCCCGCCGGCTCCCTCGCGGTGCCACACCGAGGAGGCGGTCGACCGGCGATTGCAGACTACCGGTAGTGGTTCTCGATACGATTTAAAGCGTAAAGTTGTACTCTCAGATGCACCACCCACAGGAGGAGGAGGAGGTGGGGGGAAGAGACAACTTCACTGGCTCAACAGTCCTGCTGAAATATGGGAAAGCACCGGATCGAGTCCCGCACTTGCAGTTTACTCAAATTAAAGGAACGTGTACTGCGGATGCGTGTTTCCACGCGTGACTACTCGTGTGCACGTGCATGCTTGGGACTGAAATGTGCACTTTTGAGTGTTCGCGCACGCAAGGCACTGGGTCAGAAAGAACAAGGCTCGTGTTTGCACATTTGGTTGGTTTTTGCGGGCGTTTTTTTTCTTTCTCCGCGCGAGTAAAAACCTCTCGCGTTCGGCGAGGATTTGGCAAAGGTTGTAAATGGATGAAGAGAGAGAAAAAAAAAGTCTTATCAAAAAAATCTCTGCAATCGAGTGTGATGCAGGCTCCGTTTACGGCGCAGTTCTCGAGGGCAATCGCGGCGTTAATTGCCAATCAGCGGACAGTCCGATTGATCCAATTAGTTTTGATTTTTTTGTTGTTGCGGAGGTTACTTATCTTGCGCTCCGCGAGAGCTTCCTCCCCCGGTGTTCGCTCGGTTGAAGCACTTGAAATCTCGGATAAGGAAAAGACAGATGCATATTCCTCCAACACCAACAACAACAACAAAAACAGCCCCCCCGTTACTCACTGGTGGTGCGATGTCTTGGCCGTGCCGGGGAACAGAGAAAGAAAGACACACAGACACCGCCGGAGCGCAGCCGAAGAGCCACAGGGGAAAATGGCATTTAAAAAAAAAATACACATGACGGTGGGTCGCGAGGAAATTATGGCTTCTTCGGAAGCGGAGAGCTTCTGATCGGCAGACTAATATCAACACCCTCTTAAAAATATTCCGGGCTGACTAAATCCTCTCGTTGACTCTTTGTGATGGAGAATGCCCCCCCTTCGCGTTGATCCTGGCAATTTCCCTCTTCTCTTTCAACCAGCCTTTCTTTCCACCTCTCCCTCCGGCCCGGCAGCAATTTATTTATATAATTGTCTATGCGGATTCTTTCCTTCCTCCGCGACGGACACATAATGATTTTTCATGTTGATGTTTCCCCCCCTTTTCGCAGGTTTTCGGCTCGTGGTAACGCAGAGCCCTCTTCCGCCTCTCCTCCGCCGGCGCTCCGCAAAACACCGCCTTCCTTCAATTACTCCGAGTATTTCCTCCTCATGCATTCATATATATATTTATATAAATACATATATATATGGATGAATATAAATACATATATATATATATATTTATCACCGACTCGGTCTTCCCTCCACTGACTTCCTATCTTTCAGGTGTCGCTTTCGCTCTTGAAAACAAGGACGGGATTTGGCCGCTCTCTTTCCCCCGGTGGGTCCCGGAGAGGCTCCTTCTCTCGGTTATCTCCTCCCGTTTCTGACGGTCTGTCCGAACAAACAAAATGGCGGCTTGTTGTTTCTACTCCTCTGATACGGGGGGAGGGTTGGAGGTACAGCAACATTAGGCGTGAGGGGGAGGAGGGAGCGAGGGAAGACGAGGAGGGAGGGAGGTTGTCTTCGTGAGCGTTCGGGATTGTCCGGAAAGCGGCTCGGCTGCGTGTCGGCGATGGCCGGTTTCCGTCTGTAGGGGACGGTGGCGACACGTTACGCTGGTACCAAACCAGGCGCGACGCTGTGTGCTACTGTTTACTCAACGTGTTAGTAGGACAAAAGGTTTTCTCGCTTCCTGTCATGTTAAAGCACTAGTTGGTGCAGATTATAATTTTCCACACGCGTTATTGCAATATTTTAGTTGTATAATTCAAACAATCCGGGAGTCAAGACGTAAATCAGAGCTCCATCGCATGCACAAAGTATATTTCCTGTTATGATTCAATATAAACACATTAAACAATAATAAAAATAACACTGTAAAAGGATAAATTCTACCCGAGTACATCTTGCTCCATCAACAGGGGTGTTGTTCAGATCCTTGACCACTGTGTAAAAACAAATCCCAAACTGCATTAGATGTTACTCATGATACAATATGAAGTATTATCAGCCAAAGTGCAAAATGGACTTAGTAATATATACTCAGGGAAATGAGAAATGGCTCCTGTGAGTGTTGCCGGTGCACTTAATGTGTCGTGTGTGGATGAATTAGTCGAGCGTATCCATGCAAGTGTTTCCTTATCTCCTACGAGGGTTCAATAAGAGAGGGTTGTGTATGCTGTACAGATTTTAAAGCCCCCCTTTATACTCATTTGTGATATTCAAATGACTTCAAGTCGCTAACACCAAAATATAACCGAGAAACTATTTTGTCATTTAACTTCTCGACACAAGATATCTCATTCTTCACTGCGAAGTCCATTCTCACGGCTTGTGACCTGGAAGTTACCACATCAGCGTTGCATCCTCAACAATTGTTGCATATGTGCACGTCTTTGGCAAAGAAACTCGCCACATGCAGTAAACAAATATGAAAACAACTTTCTGGTATCAAATCCTTTAAACCACGCTGGTCCACCTCTTGAGAAAAAAATATAAACCATTGAAATGCAGTGTGATCCATTTTGGTCAACAAGACTAGCTCAATGCCACATGGTGTGAGTTGAAGATAAAACGTTAACGTTTGTATTTTGTGTAAAAGCACACTGTCATGCCATCAACCGTGGATTTAAGAACGTTACGTGTTTGTGAAAATGATTTTCATTCCAAGGTTGTGCCAGAGCAAACAAGAAGAAATCAGCATGCCTCTTTTTCCGCCTCATGGAATGCACCTAAAATTGTGTCAAGAAACAACACATTGCTGTCACGTTGACTTCAGAGTCCCTTTTACAGTTTGCAAATGGAGTCCCCATAAGTATTCAAACACACACGTGTTTGAATATGTTTTTACAACCTCTAAGTCACTGTTTAACAGATAATACAGCTCTTTAATGCTAGATGCAAAACTTGTCTGACCAGTCACTTGTTTGGCGGTTGTTCATTTCGTGCGGAGCAGGATGCGGTTCAGTAAACGCGTCTGACTTGGTTTGCTGGAAATGGTCGCACACAGTTGTCTTCGGGGTGTTGGTGAGAACCGTGGCTGGATTTTACAAAGAAGCCAAAACAGAAAACCGCCTCAAGCATCTAAAACACCAGAGACACTTTATTCAACTCCCAACACATAAGAAGGATTGACTTAAGATACGTTTAACAGACAATCAAGTGGGAAATACGAACCTGCAGTCTGTGCACTGATATTAAATGGGTGGTTAAAATGTCCCGAGGAACGCTTGTCCCGCTAAATGATTTTCATGAAAACCTCGCAGCCAACCAGAAACAAGCATTTTTACTGTCTCTGTTATTAGAACACAGTGATCTAGTGACAGTTTCTTGCCTCGGTGTGGCCACATCGGGTTCTGAAGTTTGACAGAGGGCCGGACCGGGAACAGATGGAGTGTTTGTGTGAACTAATATAAATCACATGTAAAAATCATTACATGAAATGATTTGGGTTTTAACCAGTAGCAAAGCATTTATTTGCAAGGCAAGTTAACACATTTCACAAACACAAACAGAAGAAAAGCGTGTTGTGACGTGCCCGATCCAACATCTCACTTGAACTTTATTATCAACATTAACAGATTAAAGCAGCCACGCAGGCTGCGTGTCAGAGACTTGGCCTTGCTGCTGCTGGTGCCCGACCTGCTGCATTAATCCAGCTTGCTGTCGCTGGCCCTGAGACACCCCCCATCACCCCCATGGATGCCCAGGTTGCCGTGCGGTTAGAATTTGGGCCACACAAGAGATAGGACGGCAGCCTGTGTTCCATGGCTGCATCCTGGCCTCCCAAACCCAGTCCTTCCAGACTGGTGTGGAGCTGGCTGACATCTCCTCCTCCACCCTGCTGTCCGGGTGCTCCAGCAGCAAGAGCTCGGACAGCTGTTTGTATCTCAAGCCTGCACATTGGCTGACATCTCCTCCGTTGGTCAGACCCAGGTCCGAGGAAGGGATGAGGAGGTCAAAGAGCGAACCAACTTCTAGAAAGGGGAGAACAACATAATTGTTATAGGCCTCTCAGGTCAGAAAGCTAGAAATTCTGCAGGTCTGGTTCCACGCCTGAAAACAATAGTCCGGAGCCCGAAGCGGGACACTCGTTGCAGCAGCAGTTTCCTCTCACAGCTTGGATCTGTCTCAGTTGGAGAGCCAGTTGTATGGGCACCCATCTTTGCACAGTTAACATAGCAAAGTACTGTCAAACATGCTTGTGTTAGAATACATACTTCCTCTGCTACCGATGTTTTAGTAGTAGTTGCTGGAGTCGCGAACACTGCATATGGAAATCACAGCGGTTCTTTGCCGTCGACCTTTCTCGATACACGACGATGCAACCGGAGGGGACTGTAATCACTGCGGTCATTTCAGCTCGCTCGGTTACCGTTACTTTCTCCTAAAGCTACTTCGGGAGCGGCACCTTGTCCCCCGCGTCCACGCGACGCGCGTCCACGCGGGGCGTATTAATGTGCGCGCGCCCTCGTGCTCCCATCGGGACGAGTCCCGCACGAGCGAGAACAACTTGAAGCAAACTGGGGTGACTCTGCTCTTCCATTGTTTGGAGGTGGATCTCATAGTTAGAAGCTAACTCGTTAGCCCGTTGAGGCTAACGCATCAAAACATCCCTCCGGGAAAAGTTTCCCCCCCGCCAGCAGCGAAACACCACGTTTACTCCGCAGCAATGCTACTCGTTTTATAAACAAGGTGAAATATATTTGTGTTAACTGAGTAAGAAAACACGTTTTCCCTCCGTGGAATCTAACGTTACTTTTGGGTAATTCGTCAAAATATGGCCCGATAACGTCCTGGAGTCCGGCCCGAGCGGCCCCCCCCGGCCCTGCCCGTGTACGTAAACCCCAACAGCGAGTTCGTGTTTTATGTGGAGCGAACGTTGAGTAAAGCATGCGGTATATTTACCATTTCCATCACTGGCAGACACCGACAGGGCCGGAGAGGACAGCTCGGGCCGGACTCCAGGACATTATCGGCCATATTTTTGACGAATTACCCCAAAAAGTTAACGTTAGATTCCACAGAGGGAAAACGTGTTTGAGGACCTCAGACCTCATTGACGTTGAAATGAGGTCTGAACGTCTAAGACTTCATTTCAACGATGGATGATGAAAGAGTGGATGGAAAGGGGTCGTCGTGGCGCAGGGGTTAGAGAAGGTGTGCCGGGAAGCACACGGTTGTTGTTTCGATTCCAGGCTGCCCCATGTTCCATGTCGAAGTGTCCCCGAGCAAGACACCTAACCCCTAATTGCTCCCCGGGCGAAAATGTGAAAAAAGCCATGGGTTTAAAGTGTAATGTAAGTCGCTTTGGATAAAAGCGTCTGCTAAATGACCTGTAATGTAATGAAAGATGGAGCGATCGCGCCACCTTTTAAAGATGTACAATGTCACAGTTTGGTACAAAGGGACCCAACAGTTATTCATTCAAACCTTCTTTCTTCCAGCTACTAGATCACATTTGTCTTGTCGATTTGTAATGAAAATGATAGAATGAGATCTTTTTAATACATACATGTCACATCATAAAACGGAAAGCAGATTTCATTTCCATGCGCCTGTGTAATCATTGCAGTCATTTCAGGTCTCACCTTTATTCATCACTTTTGTGTTTCAACATGTTGTAGTCATTTGACATGCTCTGGTCCTTCCTGCAGCTCAGTGAGTGAATGTTCAACTTTAGAGATGGAAAGAAGGGTTTGTACGTTGGCTTAACAAAAAAAATTTAAAGACCCACAAACAAGTAACCATATCTTGTTGGGCCACAATTCTAAACAATTCTAAAAAACCTGTTGTGGAGCAAATACGGTTAAGATGTGTGTTGCTTCTAACCATTCAGCTGGAAATATACTTGATTCTGGTTCAACGTTATACTTCACCTGCACCATCACAGCAGTCTCCACACCAATGTGTAGTGGCAGACATTGTTGTGGTCCGTTACCGGGTAGAATAGGCGCGTGAGCTCCAAAGCTACGCCGTAACCCCTCAACAAACAACCAAATCCACTTTTTATTGTCAAGCTTTTCACCATCATTCACTGCCGCAAACAACAAACACGGAAGTGGTTTCTTTGAACATATCGTTAGATCACAAACTTCCATCTTGTCCTGCAACGTTCTCCCACCTTTCACCTGAGCCTGATGATGTCATCACCCTGAAACGGTTGGAAAAACACGGCGCTCAGCCAGCCACCGAGGCGGCAGCTCACTCGTCCGTCTCCCCTCCCCTATCTGCGGGCGCAGGCCTTCTCTACGTCGGCGATGGTCTTTGGCGCGTCGCGCGACAGAATCAGAGGGCTTCCCTTGTCTCCAATCACCACATCGTCCTCAATCCTGACGCCCAGGCCACGGAAACGCTCCGGCACCTGGTCATTGTCCTCGCAGATGTACAACCCTGCCACAGCAGGAGGAGGACGTGAAACATGAAACATAAACGAGAATGCAAAATAGACGATGTGTAATGAGTGGCTGCTGCCGTCTAACTAACTGGGTGGGATGCATTTTGTATTTTCTTTCTTAAAACCCGATGTCACCCTGGCTCGGGTGCCATTGGGTGCAAATAAAAGTAGCCCAACTCGTGATTAACAACGGGTATTGAAGAGGCCAGTTGGTCCCCACCTGGTTCTATAGTGATGGCCATTCCTGGCTGTAGAGGCTGTGAGCGCGACAGCTCAGGAGTGTCGTGGACATCCATCCCCAGGTAATGCCCAACGTGGTGGGGGCAGAAGCGCCGTGCAGCCTGGGATGAGCACATTGACAGGTTTACGGTCTTTCCACAGTAGCCAAACACTAATGACACGAAATCGCGGCGCCGCTGACTGCGGCTCACTGTTTTGGATGAGACTCATCTGATCACGGTCCACCTGACCGCATCTGATGAGTGTCAACTGAATCCCGGGTCGTCTAAAACACCCAAAAAAAGGGGGAGACAAATTCCAACGGGCAATTCGGACAAATCCTTCATATATGAAATCGTTGAAATACAGTTGAAGGAGGATGATGGGAGTTATTGTTTTAGCATGAACCAAAGTATGAGACAAACAGAAATCATGATCTACAGGATGCACGATTTGAAAAGTTATGCTGCTGGCATGGCCCAAAATCATGCACCTAAAAGGGTCGATAACTATGAAACCGTGTCTGAGCGGGAAACCCATCAAGCCAAGACAACTGGGAATTTTCTTCTCTGTTTTTTTAAGAGAAACAACCTAAATTTACATTCAATTTTGGTTTGGCTTGCTTGTTTTTTTCCCCAGCAAAGATCTACTGGGGAAAAGGAATAATAACACATGCCTTTGTTTTAAAACGTTTACAGAGCATATTGTGTTTCATGGAGGCTGCAAGGAGGTAATTTCATAATTCGCATTGGCCAAAAGAAGCTTATGGCCAGTTCCTGACCACAAACCACTGGTGAGGACATAAATAAACCATAGCTGTTTTAAGTCAATGCTCCAAGGTGTCTGATGGTGCCAGGACCACCTGTGGTGCGGATGATTGATATCCATCAGTTGGGGAAGAGGTCAAAAATAAAAAATAAAACACTGTAAGAGCATGAGCCTGTAAGCAAAAACACAATAGCAAACTAAAAAATGATTAAGGACTTCACTCTTTGTAATATTTGCATGTGAGAAACACAATAAATCTTTTAAATGTTGTAACTGGCAGCAGTGTTTTCCATGCTGGAGCCCGATTCTACCGCTGTGATTATTACCTTTACTGCATCAGCATCACTGGTGCTGGCCTTCACAACGCCGAGCCGCCGGAGCTGTCGCCCCAGCAGAGCCAGCATGGTGCTGTAGATGTGATCCAGACTGACGCCCGGCGAGCAGAGAGACAGACAGGAGCGCTGGACCTCCAGGACGGCCTCGTACACCTCAGCCTGGGCCGGGCTGAATCTGGTGTGAAGGAGATGAGGGCAGCACGCGATCAGGTGTTTTTTTTGTTGGGTCTTTGAGAAACACCTACTTTTAAAAAGTGATCAAATCTAGAAACGTGTTTTTTTTTTTTGTTTGTTAAGTAAAAATAGTGTAGAAAGCTAACAAGAAATGATAATGTATCAGAATCAGAAGCCATTTATCTAAAGAGCAGAATATCTAAAAAGTTATGGGCACATTAAATAAACACACGGTCCAAACTATTGTTAAGAAAAGATGGATTTCCATTTACGGTCTGCATTTAGAAATCATGAAAATCAAATCAAGAATTTGTTGCACACGTTTCAAGTTTCTACACCAGATATTCGGTACCAACAATATTTCACTTTAAAGGGGCAGAACTTAATATTTACTTAATATTCAGACTTACTTTCCATTCACTGGCCACGTACGAGTGACATCACTGACGTAACCAAAGTATTCACAACCACCATCAAGCAGCACCATTTCCCCATCCTGATGGAGGAGAGAAAGAGGGGGAGGCACGATGGGTCCGTCACTACTGCACATACAACAACACTTCAGCACAACGTGGATGTTCATCGTATCCTGTTGGATAGAACGGAGCTTTAGCATATTTGACACCTTCCCGTACCTTGATAATCTGGTTGTTGTTTATGTAGTGCAGAGTGTTGGCTCGATTCCCACCAGCAACAACAGGGGGGTAGGCCAGGAAGTTGGCGCCATGGAGCCGATTCTCAAAATCAAACTGAAAGACAAACAATGAACATCATTTATTTTAAAGTGTCCTCTGAGAGTAATGTTTCCCGTCACCTCTAGTGTCCAATTTTCTGTGAAAACGGCGTTTTGAATTCGTAGTAACTTCCAAATGGACTAAACGCTGGAACTTCAGTCGGATTTTAAAATCTTTGAGCTGTTGTCACACTTACTGTAATACCTGGCAGGGGGAAACAGCTAAATTGAGCCAAAACAACTGAATTACTGATTCGCCTCTAGTTACATGTAATATTCCGCATAAGTGAAGGAGGCAGTAACCATTGTAAATGTTGTTAAGAAGAAAGATGACCACAGTTAAACTGACAGCTTGGCGGATGGTGGTGAGATACGTGTAGTTACCTTAGCAAAGAGCACAGCCTCATCCACGTCTCCTTGAGACAGACCCATCGTCCTCCGGAAAGCCTGAAAGACAAGGACTTGAGTCAGAGCCGTCTCAAGAACCAGAAAGACAATAACAACTCTTATTGGTCATTTATCATTGTGGTTCACCCGTTCTGGTCAGTCTCGGAATATAAAATAAATACATTTGTAGAGCAAAAAAACCCTCTTCTTTTAAAATAGTTTTATCCTGCATTTGCAGACAAGTCTAGTAAACGTGTGGAGACGACGCGGGAGTTGACTCTGAATGCAGACCAGAAACATTTCCACCGGCAGGGATGCTTTAACCAAAGTTAACTCCCTATATTCCTACATGTGTCAGTTGAGGTCAGTGGACAACTACAGAACCCTTGTTTGTTTCTCAGGGCGCCTTCACACCACCTGGTGTAGGTAGACTTGTTACTCGTACGCTCTGGTATCCACAGGGAAAGGCGATCATTATGTCTCTCTCTATATTTACTTCCTGGGCGCTTCTGCCTCATGTTCTCTTAGAATTTAAATAAATATACATCTGATGGATCTAAATGTTGTATTGGTTATGCAAAAAGCAATTTCCCTCAACAAATGATAAAATATTACAACGTAGACACGAAAAGCAATTTAAACACCGACCTGAGCTGTGATGCGACCTGCTTCTTGCATGAGCGCCACCTCAGCTGAGCTCTTGACGGCCCTGAGAGAGTGCGTGAGGGGCCTGAGAGAGTGCAGCATCGGCCCCGCCTCCAGCACGGGGCCCACGTGGGCCTGATGCAGATGAGGGTGAGCGGGCTGAGAGCCGTCGTACCACAGCACAGTGCCTGTGAGCGGATCGGAGTTCACACAAAATGGTAACAATGGAGTTAAAAAGGTCCTAATTACTGCAGTTAGCAGTCAAATGTCGGCTCCTGATTTTATTTTCTTAAGAATCTGGTTGAACCCGTTCACGAAACATGAACTCTGTAGAGAAGTTATTACTGAACAACATTAGAAAAATAACTGTACACAGGAAAAAACACTGTCGGAGCAAGATAATGTATTAGTTTAGTCCTGGGTTAATAATAAGAATAACATAATAGCCAAATTAAATAAAACCCTTGGATGTTCGTAAGCAACTTTAAATCTGCTGTGGTATAATTCTGTGTGAAATTATCATACTACCATATTTGGTTGTGTACATTTTTTTATTAAAAACTATTATTTAAATAAATAGTATTAATAACCTAGTCACAAGATGTAGGAATATTCTACATATGATATCAGCGTGTGTGAGGAAGAAGAGGGAGCAGAAAGCACAGCTGGTACCTGTGTATTGAGACTGCAGAACATTTGTATGGAAATAGTTCAAAAGATTCAGTATTGGTACTTTGATCATTCTGACAACACAAGTGATGGAACAGAAAGCGTAGCAACAGTAACGAGCAACAAGGTCAGGGAATAAACACTCCCACCCACCTTTAAGGCTCTTGAGCACAACACCCAGTTCCTCTGTGCAGTGAACTCTCTCTATGCCGGTCAAAGCCGCCGCCCCATCCTTCCCTGACCGGGGCCCGTCCCACAGCTCTCTCCCCGGGTCTCTGCGGGGGACGAATAAGATGGCCTGGTCTGGTCGACCTTTCCCGTAAAGAACCAGGGCACTGTCGGGCTCGAGGATGCCGCTGAGGTAGAGGAAATCCTGGGGAGCATTGGCTTCACGTTAATTGACCAAAGCCTTGCTAAAATGTAGTCAGTGTTCAGTGTTCTCGTTAACTATCTTTTTACACCAGACAATGAGAAGATGTTGCTGTTGTGTCGTTTATCGTTACAATAAAACAAGAAATACCAATGAAGACAGAACATGCACCTGGTTCTGGTGGAAAGGATAAGGGATGTCGTTGGTCATGTAGCGGGTTGGATGGGACAACACGATGGCCACGTGGGTGCTGGAAGAGCCGGAAGGTCCCAGCAGCCTGTCGGACTGGGCCTCGATCAGCGAGGTCAGCCTGTGTCTGCGGAGCTCGTATTCTGTTTGGCTCAAGCCTGGGGTCACCTCACCTGAGGAGCAGAGGTCACACATGTGGCTCCCCGAACAGGTGTAGATGTACATGTTCAACATGTTCACAATATTTACCATGTTTGATGAGGTGTGGATGGGTGAAAGGGCTGGGCTGGCCCAGGTACCGAGGTGGAACAGTCCTTGGCTTTAAACCTCCTAGTTTCACAGAAACGTTTCGGTACAGGCACCAGAAACGCCCTGCAGACAGAAACACAACAAATACTCTTAAACTGGCCATTAACTATGTTTCACCTGCTGTCAGCGGGGTTCACAGTGCAGAACCTCACAGTATTGTAACAGTGTATGTCGGCTGATAAGAGACAATAACTTGCCGTAAGTGAAGTAGCAGTAGAATGTATAATTAAAATGACAAATTCGAGTACAAGTATCTCAAAGTCGTAATTTAAGTAACTTTACAGTTTAAACGTAACCCCACACCTGCGGTCATGCTGACCACATTTCAAAATGATGTGCATCTCTATTCATGGCGTTACGGTACGGGGGCTCGTACCGCCCGAAAGACACTGGTCATCATTCGGCCGCTGTGCCCCACCTCGGCCTCCGGGGGGTGAGGGGATGTGCGCCCGGGGAGGAGGAAGCACCGCACCGGGCATCCCGGGGTCTGCACTGAAGGGGGCAATGGACCCACTGAGCTGACTTTATCTTTAATTTCCTCCAAAACTGTACAGTAAAATATCACGGGGATAAACGGGGGCGTAGAGGAGGTCCTCGTGAACAAGAAGCAAGCGGAATTAGAATACAACCTTTTAAGGATCTGGTTTAAAGACAGTTCAAAGATAGTGAAGTTGTGAATAGCGCCGTTGTACCGTAACGCCATTAAAAGAGGTGCATTTAAAAAAAAAACGTGGTCCACAGGACCACAGCACCGCACCGGACTGGACTCACCTGGACGCCAGTTCCGCGGTGGCAGCAGCTTAACAGCAGACCGGACCAAAGTGCTGCTTAGGGGCAACATAGCTGCTGCAACTGGAGGACACCTTTCAGTCACAACATGTCTCCCTACTGTGGACACGAGGCTACAGTCAGTGAAGGACACAAGTCGCTTGATAGGCGAGGAGATGAATGTCTCTGTGTTGGTGCGACCCACCAGAGTTCGAATCTTCACATACAACGAACGCGTCTCTTTGGTTGTCAGTTAGCCTCGTTAGCTCGATGACCCCATGTTTGCTAATGTCTTGGATTGTGGGATTTGGTGCCCTGAGTAGTTCTTCCCAGGCCGAGGTGCTTAATCCCGCCCACTTTGCTGCAATTGGTGGATAAAAGTTGATTCTTCTCATTTTTTAAATATGGGTTTCAACCAGTGTATTCTCGCAACTTTTTTTTCAGATCGTACATGAATGATACATTTTAACAAGGTTGCATTTCTTCAAGTTTGAAATTGATCATTTTAAAATGTCCAATCTAATAATAAACACGTTGGATGCCATTCTGTTAAAATAGAAATTTCCTAACGTTAGTCACATGGTTCTAACTGTCTTCATTATTTCAGAAATCCCCCTCTTAATTACATTTTTGTTTCATTCATGTTGTTTAGAATTAAGTAAATTCTTCACCCGGCAGCGTGTGCTTGTTTAGAACTAATCCCCTGTAATAATCAGATTATAAACATCTGTTACGGATTTATATAAAGTGGCCTGACAGTCTAAACTCAGGACAACAGAGATTCAGGACCTGCGTCGCGTTTGTCCGTGAACGCGCCTGAATGAAAACACGGGAGCGACGCCACCGTCACCACCAGCGAAGAGCCCATTTGACACAATACAAATCCACCGCGAGCTTCCTCTGCGAGCTTCACCTATCGGGTGTCGACGGTATTCATTCTTACCAAGTGAGTTTCCCGTTCGACTGCAGGCATCCGTGGCTCTAGATACCAGGTGTTTTCCATTTATCACGGCCCGTGTTGCGGCTAGCTAGCGGCGCTATCATGCGTCAAACGGTTAACGCGTCACGCACGGATTCGCGTTTCCAGAAACTTCTGGCTTGCGACCGTTGACGTATCCGTTCATGTGGTTTGTGCACGGTGGCTTTGCGTTACACCCCCCCACCCCCCCGAATCACACGTGTTGTTGAGGTTTACGCGAAGCGAGCAGTGAACAAAGTACGGTGTAAAGCTCACGCTCATGAAACTCTATAGCACGCTTGGGTTAACGACGCTAGCATTCGCCGCATGAACCGCAAACAACGTCTGGCTCGGCTAAGTTGTTAGCATCATTCTTTTGTCTTTGTGGTTTCTCCCCCCCGCAGCGCAGCGCGCTGCGTGCCGGACGTGACCGAGCAGCATGGACCCGCGTAAAGTGACCGAGTTAAAGGTCTTCGTAGAGATGTGCGAGGCCAGTCCCGAGATCCTGCATCTTCCAGAAATGAGCTTCTTCCGGACCTGGTTGCTGGGGTCAGTATCCATCGGAGCCCAGACCCCTTTGTGCGGGTATCCTGTTTGTCGTGTGGAATATTAATTCGGGATGCATTGTGTGACTGTTGCAGGTTCTCTAAATGTAATACTGAACCGAATTAAACCGTCTCACGTGTGCAGTCCCGCCCACCTTTCATTAAAAGCCTCCATTGGACCACATGCTGGTTCCGTGTGGGTGCAGACAATGTTCCAATGCATTTCACGTCAAGCACCTGCCATGCCCCGCATTTATTTAACACATCTTTGGAGAAGAGTATGTTATTAATAACCCTGTCGTGTATGTATATATTTTGATGTATTTTAGTGATTTAAAAAGTGCATTTTTAGGGACACTTTTTTTTTTTTTTTTTTGGTACATTCATTGAGTAAAAGGCCTGAAGTATCGTGGCTTGTGTATTCCTCGCTCAACTGTGCTCCATCACTTTTTATTCCAGCATGGGTGCAACAATCCCTCCACTGCCCAAGACAGGGAAGTCCTGCCAGGTGACTCAAATATTACAATGATATTATTTCTAATATACTTTTGCTGTTTTAATGTTTGTTGTAACCGAGTGCTCTCTGACTTGTAGGGCGGCTGTCCTTGTGCTCCTCCCCCTAAATCCGCTCCCCCTCCTGAGGCTCCAGTCCTGTCTGAGACTGAGGAGAGTGACATCGGTACAAAGTTTCTTTATTCACAGCTCTGGTCTCAGGGACAAGCGTATTTAGGTCCAGCATGTGAACCCTGGCAAAGAACGAATGAACTTGGCTTTTTTTTTTTTTCTTTGTCATTATTCTGAATGAGATTGGTCAGCTGGTTCCAATCTCCAATGAAGCTGCATTCATATTTACTGTAGACACGAGAGCGCTATTAATCTTCTCAATCAAATAAGCATATTTCCCCTGCTGGACTCCAGCTCACGGCTGTCTTTTTGGAAATTGTGGAACCCTTAATAAAGGAAGGCTCTGCATACAAACTGTAGGCCCATTCAGGTATTTAATAAAAAATGTGTGGATCTGCACAACCTGCAAATATGTTCCCATTTTTATACATTGTTCTAATTTACTATTTTAACTGTCTGGGTAGGAGTTAGTATATCTGAATGAGTTTTGAAGCTGTAAGACTTTAAATTTATTTTCTCAAAATGTTATGTGACAAATTGAATATTGATATTTGACAAATGGTTCAAGTGCGTAATTACTGTGAATACTAAACCACGTTCTCAAAATAGTGGGTATTGTCTTTGTTTACAACAAGAATTCCCAGTAAATATTGGCTCCTTTTCAGAAATGGACATGGAGGGAGTGATCGAACCAGACACCGATGAGCCGCAGGAGATGGGCGAGATTGACAATATTGAGGTCAATTTTCTTTCCATTTTCTATTGATCATCCATTCAGTTACGCAAATATATCGAGTATTTATTCACTGTTCCAGGCCTGGAAAAAACCCACGGAGCATTGACCTCTTTAGGTGGCAGTAGTGTGAACATCTGTGCATTCATCTCCTCAGGTCACAGAGGAGATGATGGACGAGGCCGATGAGAAGAAGATGGCGGCCATTAATGCTCTCGGAGAAGGTAGGAGGACTTTCTGTTGAGAACGTGCACATGGACTCAAAAAGATGACGTTCAAAATTGAATTAATACGTTTGATCTTTAAGTCCATGTTTACACGTCAATTCCGGTGCAGGTGATCTGCCGAAAGCTCTGGATCTTTTCACTGAAGCAATCAAGCGGAACCCCTGCGTGGCCATCATGTACGCCAAGAGGGCAAGGTGAGAGTCCTCAGGGCCTTTTTATTCAGGGTGTCCCAAGCAGAGCATTAAAGTGTCATTCAGGTATTAAATGGGTCTTTAAGCATTGTGATTGCTCTTGTCTGTTATGAAAGAAGTGCATAACCGTTGCCTTTTGTTTTTAGCGTCTTTATCCAGATGCAGAAACCCAACGCAGCCATAAGAGACTGTGACCGAGCCATCAGCATCAACCCAGACTCTGCACAGCCTTACAAGTGGAGGGGAAAAGCTCACAGGTACATTTTGTATTTTACACCCCCACAGACGCGTTGCATAACCACCACGCTGCTAACTGTGGGTTACAGCAGGGCCAGGGATGTAGAATAAAGCCATTTCAGGGTTGCTCTCCTGAGTAACATTTAGTTTTCTCCTATAGTGTGCTATCATTATTAACGTGCAGTTATTTAATGTTCATCTTTGTGCCCTAAAACATAAAATATGTCTGTACGAACATCTTAAACCATGTTAAGAACCATTTTAGTTTGAGTATCAACGGGTCTCGCAATTTGATACTCTTCAAAGTTGAAAGGTTGACAGTTGTGATGGTTTTCGTTGATCGTCAATTCAAAATGCAGGCTGCTGGGCCACTGGGAGGAGGCGGCCAAGGACCTGGCCACGGCCTGCAAACTGGACTATGACGAAGACACCAGTGCAATGCTGAAGGAGGTCCAGCCAAAGGTTAAACTTTTTTTTTTTTTTGTTAAGTTAGTTATGAATGCAGATATGCATTACATGACAAACTAATGTGAGTAGTCTTGGAGAGGAGATCTTGCTGAATCCGAAGTAGAGCTCCTGATGCCACACAGGAACTCAAATATGATGCTACCAGCTGTGCGTTTGTTGATCGTTCTTGTCATTATTCCCTTTTTCTGTTTTTCAGGCTCAGAAAATCATTGAGCACAGACGCAAATACGAGCGCAAGAGAGAAGAGAAGGAGGTCAAGGAGAAACAAGAGCGGGTAAAGAAAGCCAGAGAGGAGCATGCACGGGCTCAGAGGGTGAGTTAGTGTGGCGATATTCTGTTCTGAATGAAATGTTCTCCATGCGCAGTTAATTGTGACAGAATACTAATGCACTATTTGGTTGATAAATGCTGCACAACTTGAAGTTTCTCCAGAGAAGAAGTCACTGCTATGAGTTTTCAATCGATGCTCAAAGGCACAACTGATGTTGGCTAAGCCCCGCCCACCTTAGTTACTGCTGCTTCCTCTATGCCGTGTCTACACCACCCCACAGACTGATGGTGTAAGGTTCTTGGATTTAGGATTACTGCTACTGTAGCCAGTGAGCTAGTTAGCCGCACCTGTTAACATTTGCAGCTTGCATTTGAGCAGAAAAAAAACACTACACTTAAGCTTTTGTTTTCTGAAAATGCTTCAAAAAAAAGCTACAACATCATCACATGTCTGGTTGTGGTTGCAAAGCTGTGATTGGATGATTATAAATAAATGCAGCTCAAGGCTTTGTCTTTATGAGAAACTGCAGTGTTTCTTTTTTCCCCACTCATGGAAGTTCCTCCCTGACGCGTTTGCAAATATGTCTGTGTGTGTGTGTCCGCACCTGGTGCTCGTAAGAGTTGTAAAACTAGAGGAAACCCTGAACTGTATAATCAGCATTTTGAACTCAAACAGAACACCATTGACACATTTCACATTGAGAGAACAAACCTCTCCTGAACCTTTTGGACACTTAATAACCTCTGAATTGTTTGCATTTTCTCAGGAGGAGGATGCACGGCCGTTCGGAGGCAGCGGAGGAGGTGGAGGAGGAGGATTCTTTCCTGGTAGGAGGGGGAAAAAAAACCTTGTCCATTGCATCATGGGATGAGAGGATTACACAATAGACGACTCAAATAAAAAGATGATACCCTGTGGACAAATAATTCACAATTTCTATATAATTGGATCTTACTGATACGCTACGTATTACTGTAAGATCTGAAGCCTGAACAATGGGTGATGTTTGAGGAGTAATTACAGGTCGATATTTGTTTATCGCCCGACTGTTTACATCCCTCTAACAAAGTTTAAATTCATCAGACTGATGCGATCGCCTCTTAAGTTCACTAACGATAATGATTCTCTGTAGGTGCGGGTGGATTTCCAGAAGGAGCCCCTGCTGGCATGCCCGGTTTCAGTGATCTCCTGAAGGATCCTGAGCTGCTCAACGCCATGAAGGTGACACCATCAGTCTTCCACTGCCCAAAGGAATAGGCACATTTTTGGAAACTCACTACTTGTACAAAGTTGACGCTATTCAAGTTTGAATGTCAACAACGCCTGTTAGCTTAGTATAAAGCTCACAGGGATGCTGCTAGCCTGGCTCTCTTCAAACCCAACAAGTCTTCATCCCCACAGAGGAGGGGGGGGTGTGGCGGGTAAGGACAGGCATATTTGAGCTACATACAGATGGACTGAGATTAAAAAGCTAATGGGTTCCTGTCTACACTGAAGGTACACATATTCCTGTCATCAGTCCCAAAGTAGCCTTGTGAACATGGCTGAGATTTTTAGTTGAGTACTCGACCACAATTGCACTTCTAAGCAGTGTTTGGTTCAGGCTAGTTTATTCAAAAAAGAGGAGATTGATTACATCTGATCAACAAAATTGTGTATTTCTCATAGTGAACATCAAAGTACAAGTTAAAGGGGAAGCAGTTATTTGTACGAATCAGTCTGTTGGGAGTAGTACTGCATCTGTGCAGAAAGTTGACCCTGTTTGCTCCTTATTTTACTGCAGGACCCGGAGGTGATGACTGCCTTCCAGGATGTGGCACAGAACCCGGCCAACATCTCAAAGTACCAGAACAACCCTAAAATCATGGCACTGGTCACCAAGCTGAGCTCAAAGTTTGGAGCGCCACCACAGCCGTAGAGGAGGAGGAGGAACCAAATGGAGTGGATGGATGGTGACTCGTTCTGGAGAGCCGCAATGCTTTTCAACTATTAATCCACTGTGTGCAGATCCAATGGGGGAAGTAGGTGACGGGCAGAGAGTGAGGCTACTTTTTAAATGTTCTTAATCAGCCTGTTGGTTCTTAGCAATGTCCAAACGAGTTTAGGAGGCCGGTCTGACAACTTCCACCTCGTCCCAGCTTGGACTTTACTCAGCCACAGGTTGACATTTCCTAATGTGTTTCTGGAAAAGCTAAACTTGGAGTTCCCGCATTAAGACGCCCGCTCAAACATTTTTACAGGCGTTTATTACATGGTTGTGGTTTAGCTTACGGACTTTCCTTTCTCCGAACGGAGCCAAACTCCCACACATAACCAGTTGGTTTTTGTTGTCAGATCTGTTATAAAATGCACAAAAAAATGTCACGGTTAATGTCTGACCCTGTTGGAAAATGATTCCCAATAAAAAAAATGCTGTTGCAGTAAAATAAGTGACTTTTTTTAGTTCTGTTGTTTACGATACAGAAAAATATTTGCCACTTTGTATTTCGGTTTCTCTCACGAACTAGAAAAGGTAATTCTGAGAATCCCATTCTGTGTGGGTTTTTTTTTTTTTTTTTTCTGTAGCCACAATTCAATCCATTGTTTGATTTTAGGCACAATGGATACATTGTTTTAGTGATTTCCTAACTTCATTATATTAAATGGCTGCAGTCTGTGCAAAGCTGGACAACAGACACAATGGAACTGGAACTATTTCCAGATAAGATTTAAAGACATGTTTTAAAACCATTAGCAACCCGTTTGCACAGATTCCTCCATTTAACGGCCAACACTCCATTGGGAATTTCTGCTTTTTGTCATTTCGTCAGATAAAACAAGCAATATTACATGTAATTTAGCTGACTCTCATGGTTTTTTTGCATTTTGCCGGGGAGCAATGGGGTCTTGCTCAGGGACACTTTGACATGGAACAGCACTGGAGGTTAATCATTTTCAGCATCATAGGTGTTGATGGAATTGACAGGTGCACTAGAGGGGCAACAAATGAGAAGACCCCCCCACTCTAAACTGGACTAGTCTTTCATTTGGAGGCCAATTCACGTTTCTCCCACAAGTGATGTGTTATCACCACTGAGCATGAGGCTTTCTTAACCCTATTTGAGAATAGAGGGGCATAAGACCCTCCGACCACACAACCCTACGCTGGTGCAGAAGGTCCTGGGTTCCTCCTGATACACAATGCCCGTCCTCACGTGGAGAGTATGCAGGTACCTGGAGGAATTTATACAATAGAATACTTGTGATCACCTGACCAAAACCAGACAGAACACCTCTGGGACATTGTGATTCGGTCCATCAGACGCCGCCAGGAGCTCACTAATGCCATTACACAGATCTGGGTGGACATGACAATCGGTCCTCTCATTAGGCGCATGCATACAAGCACGTGAGGGCCACACAAGATATTGAGAAGCATTGAGCTGCAGAAATTTGACTAGCCTGCCGCATCATTTATTCCTTGATTTTCAGGGTGTAGATAAAACAAAGCCCTGTAGACTGAAAACAGTTACCCATATTTTCATCAAAAGATGTAGCTTCCTTTCGTTCCAACCAACAGACACTTGCGAGTTGAAGCCTTACAAGTGCTGCAGTGTGACTCGGGCCCAGAGGGAACAGATTACTAATCCGCACAGAGCACCCGTCCTACCGCCGAGGATTACTGCTCTATAAACACATGACTGCGTCAAAGCTGATCTGTCAACCACGCCGTTTAAATATTAAACGAGTCTGCACACAACCGAAGCAGAAGCGGGTTTTCAGCAGCGCCCATTCCGGTCTTATAGCACACGGATCCCTCAAACTCAAGTAATACAAGACCTTTGTGTGACAATATTCATGTTTATTTTTGTATTAACAACATACCAAAACAAAAGACATGGGCATAAAATAACTTGCTTACAAGCAGGAGGGAACAGAAGTAACGAGAGATGCTTGTAATGACGCAGGAACACGTCAGCAGTAATACAGCTAGTGTCCGTATCTGTAAAAAGAGACAACTGTCAATACAGACGTTCACTTCAAGAAAAGATTCTAAACTGTGCAAATCAAGTCAAATCAGTAAAAAAAAAAAAAAGTAGTAATGACACTCACTTCTGAAACTCCCACTCCCTGTTGTCCAGAGGACACACCTGTCTGGTTTTCAGCCAGCGGGAGATACAGTGGAAGTGGAAGGCATGCTGGGGAAGAGGGTAGAAACACATGAGTAGATGCACTTATGTATCACAACACAATAGAAAGCGGTCACTTGAACGTTAGAATCCATTAAATGCCTTTTCACTGTAAATACGAACTACAAAGCCTTTGGGCCATTTAAAATAAGTAACCATATGAACCGTGGATACATTATTAATATATTTACAACTGGACAATAACTCTAAAATGAAGAACCTCATACACATGATTTACAGTCAAACTCAAATGTGGAAGCAGTTTAAAAATTGAGGAGCAACACGACTAGAACTTTACTAACGGATTAGCTAGATGAGAATTAACTCAATGAGGTCATCTTCATCACGTAAAGCTGAATTAGCGGAGCCACATCTGAAAAAACATTGTTTTTAAATGTTCAACATGACAACATCTTAACAGCTTAATAAGTGTTTTAGGTTTTCAAAAGTTATATTTTTACAATGCGACCGTGTGGAGACATCACATGGACCTGATCAGAGACACGTTGGAGGAGCGTACTCACGTTGCAGACACCCCAGGCCACAGTGCACTCTTCAGAGGTTGCAGAAGCTTGGTTGGCCTGGCACTCTATACCTGAGAGGGGGGGGGGTATATGTGCCAAAAATGTCACAAAACTCGCTCACATGCCTGATGATGAATGACAAATAGAACAAACATCACAGAGAGTTTGTGAACTCACAGAGATCCATGATGTGGTTCCGGCAGATGGCACAGTTGTCCACCACAATGTCCCAGGCCCACAGCGCCACAGCATTCCACTGGTGGGGGAGGAATCACAGACCATTGATCTACAGTCACTGCAGGTGGTCTTGTTGACAACAACAGATTTAATGACAGCTTTATATTGGCATCTTTTTGTATTTTAAGTAAAAAAATCTACAGGCAGAAGTAGTTTATTAGTTAGTAGTTTTTTACTACTAGTTAGTAGTAGTTTATTCATGACTGATCAACTCTGCTTAATTCTCACCTCCCAAAATAGATTTAGAATTCGACTGAAATGATCTGCGAACACATCATCCCAGTGGTTATACCGTCACATGTTTCCACCCGACCTGTTATTATATCATACGATTATAAACAATGATGATAAAACGGTGGCTTAAGTTAGCTGACGTTGATGAACGTAACGCTTGAAAGCAGGGATGTCACAAATGTTATCAAAACGATTGATGCTATATTAGCTGCTTACGCTGCTACCATGTAAATAAAACCATACAATTCAATCACAACTGTTTCAATTGATCAACCTTTTAGATGAGGATCATAACACGTCTGCTTCCGGCAGGTTTGGATGCTTTGTGACGGCTAGTGGGCTCCCGGAAATGCAGCTTAGCTATCGTTAGCCTAATTTAGCTCGGCGCATTAAGAGCTTAATTTTATAACCGTAACTAATGTTTACCGTGAATGGGAGGTATATCTATTCATGTGATCACGTTGTGAATTAGGCAGACGAGAGTTGGTTGATAGTTGATAAACCTTTTCTGATATTTCCCTATGAAGAATTGCAAATTCATGCCGTTTGAGTCAGGCTAACAGCTAGCTAGCAACTGCTCCAACGTTAACGGTAAAGCAACACTGATTTACCGTTAGAATGCGAACACTATCAGTGAGCTCTACGAGTAGTCATTTGTATCTAATGGGGGGCTAATGTTTAACATTTCTTAACACCGTGACTGCGAGTTTCTTCGTGGAATCTTACCTTTTTAACTTCAAATCGCTTTTTGCTAGCTCCACTGTTTGCGCCACTCGGCGTATCAACATCCATAGCTGCTGCCATCTTGGAAGGAGAAGGTTGGCCTGATGAGCGAAAGACCCGGAACAAAAACTGTCATTTCCGGTGCTGTTTCTTCGGGATGAACGTTATATAAAACCTTATCAGTTTGTGTCACATTGTTAATCTGATGGGCTACTCTGATATTATTAAATAAAACGTCATAAAGTATTTGTTACAATCGCATCCAACTAAACATAACATTCACCTAAAACAAAAATCAGGTTCTACCGAGATTTGAACTCGGATCGCTGGATTCAGAGTCCAGAGTGCTAACCATTACACCATAGAACCCTGATGTACTAACAGCAGACATATAGGATATATAAAGTATAGTACAGGCAGAGTTTAATGCACAAATACACATAGTGGTTATGTACCAATACGGTATGTTTATCAACAGTGTAGGAAGGTCTGTTTTACTCTCATTTGATTGTGAATGATGATGAAAACGTCACACAGAGCTATATTCTAAACCACTTAAATAAAAAACAGGTCTCAATTGTCGTATTCATTTATTACGGTGTCTTATTCCTGGTCACTTTTGGTGCCCCAGGTTTCCTCTGTAGCTTATTTTTGGTTGGTTTGGAAAATCCAGCTTTAGGCTTTGCGGGCTTAGCTTTCACTCCAGTGGTCTTCGAGAGGCTTGTTTTGCGTTTCATCACTTTTGGAGGTCTGGAGGCCATGAGAACCATCCCGACTGGAGGAAAGCTGCTTTCTGGACAGGACTTGAACGCATGGACGTCTCTGAGCTTCTGACCTCTGAACTCGGGTGGGTGACCGCAGGTGGCCATCACCTCTCAAGTATTGTTCTCTATCCACCTGAGAGACATAGAAAGTGACATGGTTATAGCTAACAATGTAGCTTTTAATAACAACTGATGCATCCTTGATTCCAGTAGCAGCACTTGTTTGTTTCAATCTCTCCTTCGGCAAAGCTAATCAGTAGCTCCATTTTAATGAGGTTGAATGTTTTGGTCAATTCACAACCTCCCTACCAACTGAGCCGGCCTGCTGCATAATCAACAGAAAAAACGGCTCTTCTGTAGAAACACTGGGCTGACCTGCGTAGCGGCAGCAGAGGACAGTCACACGCCAGAGGGTTGTCCTGCAGGTCGACCACTTCAAGCCCGGTGAGTGGGCTTAGGTCAGGAAGTTCCTCGAGCTGGTTCCCTCTCACAGTGAGAGCCCTCAGCCGGGGGCCCAGCCCTGCAAGGGCATCCCTGGACATCTGGACGGGGGTACAATTATAAAAAAAAATCAATCCATCGTTAAAAATCGTTATGAATTTGAGCTGTTAGCTCAGGTATGGCCGAAATGTTTCTTATTCTCATTCACATATAGTATCATCCACAAGACGTTCAGGGGGCATTAACTCATTTCACTTGTCGAGGAGTAAAGACTAATGTTTTGGGGTTCCATTCCTTACCACTCTTTATCCCTAATTTGTACTTTCTGACTCCAACAACTAGCAAAAGTACAATAAGCATTCATTCACAATCCATGCCTCAAAGAGTCACAACCTCCAGCTATTTCTACAATCCATAACAACTCGATTAGAGATTTAAAGTGAAAGAAAGTGAAAGATGCACGGAGCGATTAAGATAAACACAATGCCAACATTTGGGATTTAAAAAGACCTCTCGAACCTTCTTCATGCCCATCTGATCCATGTAAAGCCTCTTCAGACTTTGGGATATGGGCTTGAATGCGTTTGGCCCCACCCAGCCAATTGAATTCCGAGACAGGTTGATCTCCTCCAGGTTGGGGGCCTCGGACAGAGCGTGGGTGGGCATCTCGGTCAGCCTATTTGAATCCAGGTGAAGTGTACCGAGGAAAGCCGAGTCCAGAGCACCTTCAGCAATAGCAGTTATGGTGTTGTTGGTCAGGTAAAGTTCCCTGAGGTCGGGGGCTACTGAGGCCAACAACCCAGTGGGCTCGAGTTTGGAGATGGCATTTCTCTCCAGGTGTAACGCGAACAGACTGGGTAAGAGTGACAGGGCTACGGGAGAGACAGAAAGAGATGTGAGCATGTTTTGTTATGTGTTTTTACACACATACGTACCGTGTCAAATCTTTTTATTTGCATACAGACAGACTTGACTTAACCGACCACTCGCCTGGTCCGGGGAACTTAACCAGCCGGTTCCCTTCTAGGTGAAGGTACGTGAGCCGCGGGGCTCCAGCGAAGGCTCCGGCTTCCAAAGATGTGAGGTCATTGTCAGAAAGATACAAATAAAACAGGTTTTTCATTCCCCGGAAGGCACCGCCTTCGATTGCGTGGATTTTGCAGAGCTCCAGGTGGAGAGAGACAACTTGGCTGGTGCCGGGGAAGCTGCCGGCAGGAAGGTTGTGGAAGCGGTTGCTGCGCAGGTCAAGCAGCTGCAGCTTGGTGGCGAAGCCTCGCGGGACTTTGGTGTGGCCCCGGCCCTCACATGTGGCGTGCTTGGATTCAATCTGGACGGGGTTTGAAAATGACAATTACATTTTAACAGCAGAACACCATGTAAACATTGGCAGATATTTTGTATTTTTATGTTCATTTGGCTGCTCAATATGGCTCTTATTTTCGACACCGTGATATTGTACTAATGTTGGAGTTGCGCTGTCAAACACTCACATCGCAGTCACAGTTAACCGGACACGTGGCTTTCTGCTTGGGCTTGTCCGCGGGCAGGAGGCTTCCTGGGCTCTCATCGGCCTTCTCAAGCTCGCCCTTCAGAGTCTCCGCTCTGCTGCGGCAGCGCAGATCCGCAGGAGCCACGTCCTGCAGCGGCTCCCCTGAGAGGTGAGGAGGTCCGGCGCAGGATCCCAGGAGCTTCACCCCACCGACACCCGTCCACTGCCTCAGGGGCCGCATGTAGCAGTTACAGTCCACCGGGTTGCCTTTGAGGAAGCATGAGTGACGATTGTCATGCAACGCCGAGGAAATATGTTCTTGTCTACATCTGCGTGATGCACAAACATCGGCGGTACCTGTCAGGTCGAGGGCAGCCAGCTCCTTGGGGCCCGTGAGGGGCTCCAGGTAGCGCAGCTGATTGTGGCTGAGGTCCAAGTGGGAGAGCAGGGGGGCGCGGGACAGAGCCTGATCTGACAGGTCCCGCAGCGACATGTGGTCGAGGTAGAGGTGCGTGAGCTTCGCCATGGAGACGGACTCTTCCCCGAGGTAGGTCATGGAGTTGTGGCTCATGTCCAGGCGCGTGACCTCAGGAAGCCTTCGCGAGGAGAGGAAGAGTATTTGAATTTACCAATAACCCTTGACCCTAGTCATCCCGTAGTTTTGACAGAGCACTCAATCAATCCTGTAGACAAAAGCACTCTTTTTCTATTAGAATGTTGAAATAACATTCATATGATTCCACCAGAATCCCTCAGACGGTCCCACCTGCTCATGGTCAGAGTGGGGAAGAACTGCAGCTCGTTGTGGTCCAGGCTGAGGCGGATGAGCGTGAACAGTCCAGCGAAGGCCTCAGGGGCCAAGTTGTTCAGGGAGTT